TGGGTTATGTTGAACACACCCTTTCTCTCTTCATGGTGACACTGTACTCACTGCAGGCTGGTGGTGGTCCTTCTCAAAGGAACTGGTGTATTTGAGGGGACGGTGGACATGTCCTTGGAAGAGGATCTGTGAATAAAGGGACCTTATCAATCTGAGGTCTTGAGCTGAGGCTAAACACAGTTGCAGTCTCGGAGGCTGTTAAGGGGCATTATCAGCTTGTTACTGTGCTGCTTAAGTTGTCACCACAATTGGAGATGGAATATTGGGCTGTCTGGAGTCTAGAGCAGCTCACAGGGAGCCCGGTGCAGAAGCATCTATCTCCAGGAGCTGGCCTGGAGCAGACAGTTTGTACCCCTGGGTGCAGAGGAGCCTGAGCAGCACTGTCCTCCTTTCTAGTCTCAGCCACGCTGTCACACACAGAAGCACCAGTACAGACAGGCTTGTCACCTCCAAGCTCCTTTAGGTCCCAGCACAACCCCAGAGCAGAGCTGGAGCACTGCTACTCAGAGCACAGCCTCAAGGAGGTCCCCATGCGCTCACTCAGCCAGCTTATCTCTGAGATAACGCTGTGCAGCCTCCCTGACGTCAGCACAGCAGCCAGGAATCCCCTGCACCGTGAAGCTGCGCTGGCTTTGCCCCCGTTTTACCAGTGCAGCTCATTCGGGAGCCTCCAGCACTCCGATGCAGGCCTGCTGGCTTGCGGCAGAGCCTCCGGGACCCACCCCCTGGGAAACGTGACTGTGTTCAGCACATCTGCAAACCTCGGGAGCTGAACCACAACCAGCCAAGTCAACTGTATTATGGCTGAGATTCTGAAATAAGCAGCACTTGACAAGTGCAGGAGGACAGTTAATAAGAGCCTCCTCAGCCCCTTGTGCCCCCCACCTCCCATAATCACTTGTAGAGGCATCCCTATAATCTACAGCCAGCAAGGGGAGAGGCAGCGAGGCGGTGTAATTTGTATTCCAGCTCTGCCACTGCTCCTAGTGCTTCCAAGAAGCAAGTAAAAATAGCACTCCATCATTTTGTAAATAATAGCTATCTCCTCACAGTCCTGGAGAGTCACGAGCACTAAAAAGGGAGACTGCAGGAAGGGGGAGATGTCTGCATTGAGCCAGGGCCAGGAAGATGGGATTTGGAGGTGGAAACAGGGGAGGAAGGTTGGGTGAAATAGAAACTCTGAAGCACTCTCAGCAGTAGCTGCTGCTGCTTTACACCTTCTGCGTGCACGAAGGAAGCAACCAACACTGCTGGTGTGGGGCTCGAGGTGGCAGGATTTGGTGTCCACATAGACCTGGTAGGGATGTTTTATCACCTGCACAACCAGCTAGATCTGGCATAGCAAATTTTTGGAGAAGGAAAGAGCAGACAGGTGTAGGGAGTGCCATGGTAACAAGGTGGGAAGGGTTGTTAAAGCCTTTGTTTTATATTTGCATTGCAGATCTGCCCAGTTGTGGGGGATTTGTGCAGGCAGGAGCAAGGCAGCGTTGCCTGGCAGGGAGGGACGGGCTTTGTACCAGGGAGGAGAAGAGGCAGCTCTGATCGACCTGCAGCACCATGTTCCTTCTCACACACTTGCTCCAAATGGTTTTAAAAACACGGTTGTGCTGAAGCTTGGGAATAAGCTGAGCCTATAAATTGGAAAAGAAAAAAAAAAGGAAAAAAAACCCCAACAAAACAACAACAACAAAAACAAACAAACAAACAAACAAAAAACAGTCAAGTAAATCAGCCCCAAACAAGTGGCCTGGGGGACATGGCATGCCACTTGGATCCCTAAGTTCTGCCTGTGTTGAACCTGAAAATCTCTTGCTCTTCTAATCTGGTGGCTGTTTCATGGTCTTTTTTGTTTTCCTAGTCCCCAGGTGGCAGCAGCTTGGGGCACGGTGAGCTCAGCAATGCTGGAGGGTGCTTGTGCAGCCTGCCAAGAGCAGCACCCCACCAGCCCACAGCATTCCCTCGGGCCGCAGGGCTGGGCTCCAGCCCTTGCTCTGCTCTGGCTTCCTACCTGAACCAAGTCTCCTGCTTTGCCTCCCCAGTGATAAAACAGGACGGCAGCACCCTCCTGCCAGCCCAGCAGGCCTGAACCTCGACTCACTTGTGCATGTACAAAACTTTGAGTCACAGGGAAGGATGACGCTAGGATAGGAACAATGCCATGTAAGGTTCTGCAGCAGATCTAAGGAGAGTGCCTGACTATCTACAGTACAGTCCTTCATTGTGAAATCTGTGGTGAGAACTGGGGGGGACAGCCAAGCTGCAGTGTGAGCGTGTTTGTGGATTGAGAAGGAGGTAAGGATTCCCCTGCCATAGCTCTGAGCAGAGGCAGGAGGTGCTCCTTTCTCAGCTTTCTCTTGCTGCAAGAGTAGATGCAGTTGTTCAGGAGGCTCAGGTTGGGTCAATGTGAGGATAAGGAGGGGGGAGGCTGGCTGAGTAGCTCCTGGTTTCTCTGGAGGAGGTCTCACCACTGCAGAGCTGATAAGCTCAGGCAGAGCTGCAAGCAGTGTGGATTCTCTTGAGTTGTAGGATCATAAAGGAAGCGCATCTCTGAGGCTGGAGCTTGCTCTGTTCTGCTGGTGTTTTACTTCTCATTGGATTTCCCAGCTCTGCTGAAATCCCTGCCTGTGTAGCAATGATTTAATTTCAGAAATCCCTCTGGATCCCAGCCCAATCATGCCCTCAGGAGCACATGTTAACGGGGAAGGTTCAGTCTGGCTTTTGCCATGAAAGGTGCAGAGGGCTCATTTTACTAAGTGCAGAGAGACGTGAATAAGGCAGTGGCCAGGCCACCCCTCAGGCTGTCCCTGTGCCGGGCACTGCCCTGCAGGCACAGAGGGGCCACCCATTTCAGTGGGCTTGAGTGGCCTGGCACTGGGGGTGCATCTGCAGCTTGGAAATGGGAGATCCTCTTCAAACTGGGGCTGTCATTAATTACTGATGTTAATATTATTTTATATTAATAAATAAAGTAATTTTGTTAACACCATTATCTATGATTGGATTTGCCAGCGCATTGGAGGTGTGGTAAGGGGTCTCTGGAGCCCCGTGACAGCCAGGCTACAGCCTGATAAGAACATAAACATTCACGTAAAGATAGCAGCATCGTATCAAAAACTGTCCAAAACTAGTTCTGCCTTTTTACCTCCTCCTCATTTCCTGAATCCCATCCCTCATGCTTGGACCCTGAGGATCACACTGTAAAGCATGGGTCCTTTCATGGATCTCTGCCCCCATAAGTGCAGAGGACTATTCAGTCTGCACTTAACAAGGACCAGCTGCACTGGCCATCGTCAGCCATGGATCCTGATCTGATAATCATGGCTGTAAATTATTATCTTGAACAACCTGAATGCCAAGGAGGGAGGAGGGGAGGGAAGAGTGAGTTTGTGTTTTCTCTAAAACAGAATTAGCTCTCTCTTGCTGCATGTGTTAACAGAAAGAGCCTTGCTTCACTAAATGTTCTTCTCTGCTGTATATCTCATTTGGGGATTTGTTTGGAGGGAGACAGAGAATACCCCCAGTGTTTAAGTCTGACAGAGGGAACTCATTTTGTTCAGGATAATGTCTTATTAGCTTCTGGGTGTTTCAGAAAGTGTACCGCATACATATTTCTCTTTAACCTTCTTTTTATTGCATCAAGACAAGATCAAGGGTTACTTATATAGCAAAATAATATCAGCCACAGGCTGCATCAGAAGCTTTCCAGCCATAATAACTAAAGACATGTATACGTATATTTTAGCCATTAAGGAGAAAACCCTGCCAGAATGCATTATCTTATTCTTGGATACAAAACTCTGAAGCACAAACCGAAGCTTCATAGCACTGCAAAATAACTGTCAGGGGACGGAAGGATTTCCATAACTGAATTGAGCAATGGGCCATCCAGGCTACTTGCAAAGCTGCTGCAGTGGCCAAAATGGGGTTCTATGCATAAAGCATGAATGCTTCTTTGGGGCTCTGAATTGGTTCTTTCATTGGGAAGGCAGCTCTGAGACAGCTAATGCCATACAAAAGGAGCACAATGGCGTGATCTATCCCTAAAGTGATGAAGATTTATGGTAAAGTGGTGCTAAACCCAAGGCACCTCATTTGTCATTTTTTCAGTACAACCAAGTGGGCAGAGCACAGGACCATGAATCTGCCTTGATTTCCCTGCAAAATGAGACAGCAGCAAAGATTTCAATTAGGAAACATGCCAAAAATGTAATGAAGTCAAGAATGAGAGCTGTATGCACTACCCAACATGTGCTGGTGGCTGTGTTCTGCAAAGCATTTCAGTTTTCTTTACCTGAAGGCGTATGATTGAGATTGCCCCTAGGTTTTAGCAGTGGGGACACGAACTGGAGCCTTGTGGTTTTGCTGGGCTGGTGGGGCTGCTGCTCAGCATCCATGAGGGCAGCACAGCCCGGGGTGCAGGGGACTCTGATGCACACGAGCAGCAGATTTGCAAGAGCAGCCACTCACCGGGACGGCAGCACTTAGAACAGCAAACACAATGACAGTGAAAGGCAATCACAGTATTGATTCTTTTTACATGCGGTTAAACCTGAAGCGGTTACAAACCCAGGGTTTCCTAAAACTGATAGAACATTGCTAGGCTGTTTATCAGGCTTGGAGACACAAAGGGGTTTGGGATTAAAAAGAGTTTCAAAGCATCAGGGCTTACCTCTGCATTGAAAATGGTGGATCTGTACCACCTATGGATCATATAGCCACATACCTTTTGTAAATGCACATTGTCTGGCTGTGCAGGACATACTCATCCTCAGTGTAAGCATGGAAAGCAGCAGAGCTACGTCAGAGATCAATTTGCCCAGTTATGAGTGATAAAATTGACTGTTGCTCAGGACACAGCAGCAAGCACGATGCCGGCTTGCTGAGGGCTTGCCAGGGGGACACCTGGCAGAAAAAAATCACAACGTAGCAAAACCAAAACCCTTCCCTCTACAAGCAAATTCAGTTCTCTAATTGCTTTTTTCCCTTTTTTTTTGTCCCAGACAGCGTAACTGAAGTCAAGACAGACATTTACGTGACGAGCTTCGGCCCTGTCTCGGACACAGATATGGTAGGTGCCACTTTGCCTCCTGGGGAGGGCTGGCTTCTCCTGCAGCCACAGCGAATGGGTTCCACCCTTGTCCTTGGATAACAGTAGCAAAAGTTGGGTTTTCCTAAAAGACAAGCATACGAGCAAGCATCTCAGCTGCCTGCCCAGGCACGGGTGCACCTCATCATCTGCTTGCAAGCCAGGGGGAACTCGGTGTGAGTGGTAGGCAGGGATTGTTTCTCAGGTGAGTTTGGGCTTTTAGAAATCAATTGGTGATGTAGGTTTGGAGGGTCAATGCCTTTGCATGGCTCAGGGTCTTTTTCTTTCCTGCAAGTGCGACCCAATGAAATGAGGAAGTCTGCCCAGAGGGCCGAGACCTGTACACAGCATGCTCCACCAGGACACTACATGTCACCCTAAGCCTTCACTGTAGCCAGCTTGCCTTGACTTGACTGTGCACAGAGGAAGGAAAGTGCTCCCTGAAGAGAGAGGGGGATGCCAGAATCTGGCCTGTTTTGGTGGCAGTGCCAGACAAGCAGAGTTCACCATCAAGCTGTCCTTAATGCTTGAACCAGAAGGGAGGCAAAAGAGAAAAACTGAAAAGAGTGAACTGATTGCAATATTTTGACATGTTCAGGGAAAATTATTAATGAAAAGGCCTGAGGTCTGAATTTAGGCTTGTATTCCCACAACAGTTTGTCTTCTAATTAAAACGGGACTGTGAAGCATAATTAATAGTGAGCTTTCTCAACAGCATTTCTTGCAGCTCATATTCTACATGCATCCAGGCACACCAAGAAGAGTTGGCCGTTGATGTTGGTTGCTCAACATGTCAAGGGTGCCACATGAGGACAGTCACGCATTCAGCGCTGAGATTCTCCTGCACATCCAGTCCCAGAGGTGACCTGGTGCTGGCAGAGAATAGACCAGTGGTGGGCAGGACTGGCCTTGGAGGGAGCCTACTTTAGGAGAGGGAGCAGGCACTGCTCTCACCAGCTGTGTCAGGCAGAAGCAATGTCCTGCAGCACTTGTGGCCACTCTGGACCTGGGAGGGTTTGATTTTCTGTGCTGACATGGCTGTGAGCATCTCTTCAGCTGCCCCACTGACAGTCCTATGCCAGCAAGTGGAGGAGTCAGGGGAGAATAAAATCTCTGTGTTTCATTGAGGTAATAGCCCCATCACTCAACCCCATGTTGCTTTGGAAAGAACACTACCTTTAGGATTAGAAGTTCACTTGGTGTCAGCATAGCCAAGAGTATAAATCTCCTCTGAGTTTTCTCCCTGCCTTGCTTCTTTCCTACCACAGCCAAGACCCATAATATATTCAGAAATCTTAGCCCCTGGGGAGTATCTGATAATTACTTCCAAGGTGGAGCATATTTGATTAAGGGACTGTGTATAATGAACTGTGAAGAAGAAATATAATGTATTGAAAAGGGGAAGGTATTCTCTGCAATGTGATTTGACAAAATGAATTTAAAATTAGGAAGACAGTTAAAGAACAATAAATTATTTCCCCTTCACGTGCCGCAGCCCCATGTATCTTACAAATGCATAGCAAATGTGTTTTAGTGTGCTGCTGGTGCTGAATGCACTCAGAAATGTGTGAGACAGAAGCCCCGTCTCCTTAGGAAGCATGGAGAGAGCCTGCTCTTCTGCAGTGGTTCCTTTCATCTTGGGAGCAGGGAAGTCCCTCCTTCCCTGCACACATCTGCCTGGTGATCTCTCTCCCATCCCTCCCACAGCTATTACTCATTGAAATGAAAAGGTGCTCCTGCACATCTTGATGGAGACAGAGATTGTAATTATGATGATGGAGGAGAGGCAGGTAAAGCTGCTGTGGAGTGTGGAGAAGAGCAGCTGGTTACGAAGCATGGAGGAGGACTCGTAGAACTTTTCCCCAAGGTGCTCCAAGGGACTTTGAATCTTTTTTTCAGTTAGGTTTGGAAAGTAGAACCTGATAGAACCTGACATATGCCTGAATCTTCAGTAGTGAGCTCTTCCTGGTTTGTCTCAGTCCCCAGGAAAAAAAAAAGTTCAAGGGAGTTTTATGCTTTGATGGATGAATTCTGGAGATAGACTCAGTCTTGAAGTTTTCAGTCACTTCTTTAAAATGGAGAAGAATGCAATGTAGAGCTAAGTGTGCTCCTTGGAAGAGGAGACTTGGGAATGATGCTGTCATGGAAGACGTACAGAAAAGATGTGAAGACGCTGAATGTGATTTCTCTTTTCTTCACAAATGATTCCTTAGCATAAAAGAAGAAAAACAGAGCCTGGGAAGCTGTAAAAGTTTTGGTTGTTTGTTTGTTGGTTTGTTTATAATAGGAACAGGGAGTTCTGAATAAGATAGCTCTTCTCCTGAAAAGGACTTTTCCCAACCCTACCCCCTGGGACTGCACGCAGGCTCATCCCTTTGGTTTTATCCCTTTACTGAGCCTAAAACCACAAAGTGAAGATCACTTCCATGAAGGAGCAGCATATCTGGTACAGGGGAGCTTAGGATCTTCTCTTTCCTTCTCCCAGTCAGGCTGCAGAAACTTGACATTTGAGCAGGACTGGATCTGTGGCCTGGATCTGTGGCCAAGGAGCAGGAATTAATTTCTTTACCAAGATGCTTTTATTCAGCTGCCATCTGCTGCAAAACCTGTAGGAATTTCTATGACCTATAGGAAACTGATGTGTAGCAGCTTTTAAATGCTGCTGAGAAGAGCTGCAGGAAAGAAATCACTCACAGTAAGTTTAGCTGGTCCTGCAGCCTGCAGGAACCTGTAAATAAATACTATGAGTCTTCAATGGCAGAGGAAGAACAGCTGGACAGACAGATTTTCCCAAGCCCTTGTCTCTCTCTAAGAGCCTTGTGAGCTAATGAGATCCCTCAGTGGCAAGAGGAGGTGTGTATTGTGAAGGTGAGCAACAGTGCAGCTCATGCTGATGGACTGAAGACTTTCCCTCAAGTGACATGGGCCCTCAGAAAGCATCGAGTTGCTGAGATCACAGGGAGCATCAGTCCCTTATGCTGGGCACTGGCAGGTTGGTTCAGTGCCTTGGGGTGGCCGTGGAGCCATAGAGCATTTGCTGCTTGGTCAAGTGGTTTCTGAGGCTGCATGCACCAAGCAAGGAGCTGGCCCTGGCTGGAGGGTTTCAAGGAGATGTGTTCCAATTGCTCCAACCGGAATTTGACCTAGGAAATGGGTTTCTACAGTACTTGAAATAAGGGAGAGGGGTTAAAAAAAATGGAGGGGAGAGGGTATAGGAGAAAAAAAAAAAAAAAAAGTCATCGGATTTTGTAATGGAAGTTTGAGAGGTTCTTGATTCAGTGCTTTGCTAGAGATGACCTGAGGAACAAAACAACGTTGAGCCAAGGTAGTGAAAGGTAAATGCCCTCTGTCCTCCACAGATTTCTCCACTGCTGTTAATAGCCACTTCTGGTGGGATCACACTTGGTGTCAGCCAAGGAGTGCTGACAGACGGAGCACTCACTGAGCATTTCTTGAAGCAGCTTGTTTGCAATGAAGAGCTGAGTAAAACAAGACTTTTTTTTCTCTCCTTTACTCCACAAAGGAATACACTATTGATGTTTTTTTCCGGCAATCCTGGAGAGATGAAAGGCTGAAGTTTGATGGTCCCATGAAAATACTTCCTCTGAACAACCTGCTGGCCAGTAAGATCTGGACTCCTGATACCTTCTTCCACAATGGAAAGAAATCTGTTGCCCATAACATGACAACACCAAACAAGCTGCTGCGCCTGGTGGACAATGGCACCCTGCTGTACACCATGAGGTGAGTTTGTGTCTCCTGGGCCAGGGTCTTCCATGTCCCTGTACACATGCAGGCAAAGGTAGGACCGCAGGGTACATTACAGCAGGGTTTGTGCAGCTTTCCACTGACTTATTTTTGTTTCTGACCTCTGATGGGATGTGGAGTCAGGTTTCCAGTATTGGTAAGGGAACATTAGGATGAGAGCATTTGTTATTCTCCAGCAGCTTGAGGGGAGATCTAAATTTGTTCAACGTGTTACACCAGAGCTGTTTGAAACATCTAATGAGCCCAAACTTGCTTGTAAAAACTATGGGATTTTTTTTCCTAGCTCATGGAATCAAAACTCCAAGTCTGTGTAGTCAATGCACCTCATTAGGAATAAAAATTACCAGCTTACTAAAAGCTGTGCTTTGGAGAAGCCACTGGAAGTTCTCAGTTTAAACCAGCCCATGCTGCCATTAGCTGAGCTTTCAGTGGGAACCCTAAACATAAGGTAGCCCTGAAGCATGGGACAACAAGCAGCGTGGAACCCCACATGCAGCTCGGGGCTTCCTTCTAAAACACAAGTCGCTGCTGAGGAACCATGACAGTCATGGTCTCTAGATTTCTCAAGAACATCCCTGGTACGTATGTTCGTCACTAAGCTGCAACAGGTGGAGAGCATGAAGAGAAATGGCTTTGGGTTAATTGTATGTTCTGGAACTATTCAGATATTTCTGTCTGCTTGTAAGTTATTCACCCATGTAAATAGTATTTGTGATCTAGGGTTGATGTACTAATTTGCCTTCTGAGGAAAATGGGCCTATAAATGAAACAACAAGCTACTCCTAGATGCACAAGGAAGGTATTCAGTTGGTTTTAGAATGGCTGTGAATCTTTGTTCTCAAAAATTATTTTCTCTGCCTCTGTCTTCAGGCTGTTCCTAACTAATAACAGGCTTCATTGTGGATTCTGTGTGCTGAGATGCTGCACTTTCCCCCATGTTTTTTGAGGGCCAGACAGAATTTCAGCTCTTCATAGTTAAGCTGGCTGTGAATCTGCACAGTGTCAGCAAGTTTTACAACCTACATTGATAAACAATGCTCTGCTTTTATGCAGCAGTTCTCAAATATGAGCTAATCCTGCCAGTGCCCTGGGGATTTAGGTCTCCACACATCAGTGATCTCACGTTACTGAGGAAAATTGGGTAAAGGAAAGGAGAAGCTCAACTTGACTTAAAGGCTTGGTTCTGCTCCTGGCTGTCTGACCTGTGTGTGTGTGACTAACACCCCCCCCCAACTGTATCATTATCTGACTGTACAGTATTATATGAGCTATTGGCATAAGACAACAAAAAAAGGACTCAATTTCAGGGCTTTTATATCATTTTGCTTCTTCTTTATTCAGCCAACAGCCATTAGCTTCAGCAAGTTTTGTGTGACTGAGAAAGTATTGGATTTACTTTCCTGTTTAGGGCTGGGCAGGTGCCAGAATGGCAGCATCACGAGGCTTTGGGGAACGATCTTCTTGAAGAAAATGAAGTCATGGGATTTTTAAGATAACCGCAACACATCCTTCAGTTTAACTGTCTCCCAGAGGAGGGCAGGATGAAGGAGAGTCTGGACCTCACTTTGCATGTGCTCCTGCCTCACTTAAATGTACCTCTAAGGCTTTGTAAGAGTTGGAGAGCCCACTCAGAGGTATCCAAAGTTTGAGGGTTGGATACGAGGCGTTTTGTCAGTTGTGTTGCACAGTACCAGGGGTCATAGTGCATGGAGATCTTTTCCTTAGCCAGCACAGATTGCTGCTGTGCAGATGTGTGTGAAGCTATCCTGGTGGGACTCTGGGCAGGACTGGACCAGCCTGATGCTGGAAATGCAGTTAGAGCTGGCAGATAGCTATCTGGAAATCATGGGCCACTGCACAGGACAGCGTGTCAGGGGTGAAGCAGGTCAACACATCCAGGATCGGATGTCTGTCCTTGTGCATTTGGTGGTAGCCCTTCTCCCTGCTGCTGAAGGAAGTGCCTGCTCAGAGCCACAGAGGGTCTTTTGAGTGAGGGCTCATAAAGGAAGATGCAAGGGCACAGACTACATGGTCTAGGACTGTGCATCAGGCTGGGGCTCAGACAGCAAGTCCTGCCTGGCTCTGCCACTCGTAGGCACTCACACCTCAATTGCTCTGTAAAACGATGATGGTGGTGGCATCACCCTCCCTTGTTAACATGCTTTGAAACCTCCTTCCAGGACAGGACTGGAAGGAGACTCATGTTTTATGTCCAAGTGGTCCCCATGCTCAGAGGCATGCACATGTCCCTTCTCAGAGGAAGGAACAAGACCATAAAGCCAGTCTCTGCCCCATACAGCTGACATCCAGCAGTGCAAGTCCCAAAGAGGTACACTGTACTGTGACAAGGGAGCAAATCTGGACTGCAGCAGTTCCCCTGGACTGGTAGGACTGTCCTGGGGATCCCTTGCAGGCTCAGTCTGGGCTGGCACATTGCCACACAGTTTGACTCCTGAGATATATCCTGCTCCCTTACCTTGTACCAGCCAATATCCTGAAGGGATCAGTTCTGCTGATGTGCAATTAGAGGCATTTCTCTTGCTGTTTATCCTGCTGTGAAAACCCACTTCTCTTAGTCAAGGCTTACATTTATAGATGAAGTTGCTCTGGTGAAACAGCAACTCTGACACATGCATCTAGCAAAATTACACCCGTGTGGCAGTATTTATAGCTCACAGAGAGAGCCTCTTTATCACTGGCCTGGGCTCCAAGGAGTCACACAGCAGCTGCAGCCGGGTGCCCAGAGACTCCCTTCGGTCACAGCCCAGCTCCACAGGGCTCAGTGCAGGGATCTGAGCCCTGGCTCAGGCCTTGGTACCTGGCTGACAGGACGACCCCTGGGACCACAACATAAAAATCACATTTCTCTGTTCCCCTCCTTCTGGCTGCTGAGGAAGGGACAAGATTGCTGGTCCCTTTGACTCTTCCCTGCTACTCTAGCTGCCACAAAGGGCATGCAATACACAGATTTATTATGTAGCCCTGCCTCTGTGGTCTTGTTTGTAGAGCTCCTACAGGATCCAAGTGGTTCACAAAAGCCCAGCCTCAAAGCTCTGGTGTCAGACCTGAGTACAACAAACTGGGAATTGTGCATGGATTTACATAAGGTACAGACAAAAACTCAGCTGCTGCAGCAATCTCTGAATGTACTTTTTGGCTTTAATTGTGTGGGGCACATAGATAATGTTCTGGTTCTTCCTGGCCTTGAAGAATATGAAAATAGTGAAAGCTTAATGCTATGCTGATGGGATTCAACTTTGTGAATCCAGGCTTTAAAGAGCTCTCCTGCTCTTCACAGGGACTGTCAGAGTGGCATGTTCAGGCTTTGTGGTTATTGTTAGAATGGTTCCCAGACATTATGTGCTCAATTTATGCACATAAAGGATGTTTTCTTTAACTGCCAGGCTGATGCATTCAGCTGCATGCCCAGAGACTTCTCCTCAAGAACCTGTATTGCTAAAGACAACACTAAGTCCTTAGTGGTGGTGCATGAGCACTTGGGAAGGAGGGTCAGGGAGCCTCTGGGTGAGGCAGGGTCAGGACGGGAGAGAAAGCCCAGTACAAAGGCACCCAGGACATGTGCAGTCCTACCAGGGCTTTTGAACCCCAGATGACAAGTCCTGTACCTCTTGCAGCATGCTCAGGGCTTTGAGCTTCCCAGGCTGCTTTTTGAAATCACAAAGCTTTGCAGTGTCTCTCCCAGCAAAAGCTTTGAGTTGTCTTTACTGCCTGGATTTTTTTAACTCCCAGGCAGCTTATGAGAGCTGTAGGCTGGAGCCAGAACCCTTCACCCTGATGGAGGTGTAACCATCATTTGCCTTTCTGCAAGAGCAGCAGATGGGACATCCCAGCACCAGCTCCTCTAGGTGGTACAGACTGGGAGCTGTTTGGCTGCATCCCACATCAGGGTTAACCCTAGACAACAGCATAAACAGACTGAATCAGACCAAAGCTGGACTGCTGAACATGCAAGAAGGTGAGTATACAAGATGAGATTTGCACAGGTTGCTTTTCCCTGCTTTACAGTTTCCAGAGTGGATCCAAAGGCAGAATTTATCTGTTTTCCAGGCTTGGTTTTGTGCAGGCAGACTTTTGTAAGCTATCCCAGGAGGGAGAAATCCTCAGAGATCACCTTTTCTCGCTGCATTTCTGCCATTATGGGCTGAAATCTCCAGGGGCTGGGGGAGGATGCAAAGTGAATTCAGTGCTTTCAGATCCAGCAAAAGGATCCTAGAAGCAATTTGGCTTTCAAGCTCAAACCCCAGCAATTAAACCTAACCTAGATTCTCACACAGCCTAAACTGTAAACACTATTTGGCCTAACTGTGGTTATTAATGAATCTCCTAGAGGAGAAATCAGGACAAAACTCAAGCAATACCCTGGCATAAACAAAGTCAGTTCTGCTGTGCAGGGTTCTGTCATGTTTTTGTACCACACATACACCAAGGGATTATTACATCTGCGTCCCAGAAATTGGACTGAGACTCTCACTCATCCTGCAGCACGATGCAGGTAACGATAGGGGCTCTAATGACACATCAAAGGCTTCACTAAGCTCCTGGTAACCATGAGAACGAAGCTGAAGTGGTTTGTTGTACTGTGTGTTTAGCCTGATTCACGATTCTTGCCATTGTGTTGAGCAGTTCAAAGGACTTCCCATGACTTTAAAGAGAAAAACGTGGTTTCTCAGCCGGATGTTCCACTTTTGGTGCCATTGTGTCAGCAAAGTGAAGAGAAAGCATGAGGAGTTTGGGGTTCCATTTCAAGACAGTTCTGTGTAAGTTATTGCTAGTGCCTGGGACAGATGAGCCAAAGGATACAACAGCTGGATTATGTGATTGCTGACAGCTTTGGTATTTTTCACATGCTGTTTAGGCTGTATAACAACATTTCAGGGCTCAGATGTCTAGACCTGAACAGAGCATCCAAACAATGAAGCAAACCTCTGTGGCTAACAGGCAATGAGCTCCCTTGTGCAAGCTAAGAGGCAAAGATGAGAGTTTCTGCAACAGGCTCTTCTACCCAGATGCTGCAGAGGCCGTGTAATTGCCTGGGAAGTGAGATACATTGCTCATAGTTTGACATCTTGACATTTCATTAGGCAAAGCATATGGTGCTGAGGAGTCCTTCGCCAGCAACAGGAGGCAGCAGAAAAGGCCAGCGGAGAGGGAGCAGGAGGGGAACATGGGCACTCTCCTGGGCAGTGACTGATTCCACAGCTCACCTAAATACCTCTGCTAATTAGCACTCTGAAAGATGAGTGTGTGCATGAAAGGCTGCAGGAGATGGGTGAAGGACACCCACGGGGTATGGGAGGTGAGCAGTAGCAAGCAGCAGTGAGTGCACTCTGGTGGTGAGGAGAGCATCTCAGAGAGCCAGCACAGCCTGGCATGCATGGGGGCACAGCAAGGAGGTTTCAGGCAAAGGAGAACAGCGGGAAGGGGGAATGCCTATATTGCTTCCCCCTTCAACAAGGGAGCTGACTCCCTTGGTGTGTTATCCGTGAGCGTGCTGAAGTCTGGCTGGCTGCAGTTGCTGAACCAGACTTACTTTGCTGGAATGATATGGCATTCTCTTTTTTATTTCATTTCAAGAGACCTAAAAGTTCCTTCAGTTGTAGGCGGAGAAGTGGTAGAATATGTTGCTTTTTCAGTGGTTTGTTGATGGATTTATTGTGTTGTTGATTACTAGCTCAGCTAATAAAGCACACTTCAAATTTTAAATGTGATTGTTGCCCTCCCACACACCTACAGAGTCATCCAGATTCTGTATAAAGTTGTCTCCTTACCTTGATAATACTTGGTCTTGCTGGCTATGGCCTGGAGAGGGCAAGAAGGTTTGGCCAAGGCCAGCTTGTGGATCTCTGCTGCCACCCTGGCCCCCTCTGAGGCTCCTTTTAGCTGCTCTAAATGTTACTCAAGCACTGGACCCACAATCCTCAGTTCTTTGAGTCATTCAGCCTTATTTATAGTGGCTGTTGATCACAGCCAAGACTTGCAAACAGCACAGTTGTATTCCTGTTTTTTGGGGAGAGCTCAGGATACATCAGAAGCAAAGCACTGATCAGAGGAGTGGTCCTTTGGAAAAGCCAACACTCAGCTAAGAGCCTTTTGAAATAATAAGTTAATTGGTGAAACCAACAAAGGAATAGGAAGGTAAAAAGGAAAAGTTTTGTGTGGCCTGCTGAGGGAGATGGGAAATGCATCAACATTTCCTTTATACAACTGACAGTGACAAGTCTTAGAAGCAAAATGTCCATTGCAGTTGGAAAGGACATAGAAAGAGTCTATGGTAACAGTAAGATCTGTTAAGGTCATGGCTTACGAACATGGTTTAGTGGTGACCTGCCAATGCTGGGTTAACAGTTGGACTTGATTTTGAAGATCTCTTTCAAACCAGAATGATAACATGATTCTATGACATGCTTTCCAACCATGAAGTGAATTTTGAGCTGACAGAAAGAAGCAACACAGAAGAAGAATTAGTACAGGAAGAGCAAGGCTGTTGAGTCCACACCTTGCTGCCAGGTTTTCATAGCTGTTTCTTGAAATCTGAATCTTCATCCATCTTAGGAAAGAGAGGCATCAGAGTGAATGAGCAATTTGTTCATGGTGGCCTTTGAGAGTCTGGAAGGAAATAACTCTACGCTTGCTTGTGGGCTTGTGTTCCAGGCACACATCCCTGGAAGTGTGCAAAGCCAGGCTGGATGGGGCTTTGAGCAACCTGATCTAATGGAAGGTGTCCCTGCCCGTAGCAGGCTTGGCAGAACTAGGTGATCTTTAAGGTCCTTTCCAACCCAAACCATTTTAAGGTTCTGTGACTGTGGGAGTTGTTTTTGTGTTTTTTTTTTTCTTCCTCTGGGGCACGGTGGGGCAGATGTGCCCAGTGGAGACAGGGCAGTGATAACTGGAACTAGAATACAGCAGAAATTAATATGTCCTACTGTTGGATTAAGGAGTAGGGAGGTACCACTGAAATACTGTGGGGCTGTATTCAGAAGGTCTGCAGGAAAGTCACTGCTTGCCTTTGCTAGCTCATACAAGAATAAGCACTTGCCCATGGCGCAGTCTGCTCTGGGCACCGTGAGCCCAGTGCCCACTGCAGTCACGTGTCCCACCTTCCAGATATTCCCAAACAGGTTAACAGGGAGTTAAACCCCTGCTGCGGGTGCTGCGGGGGCTCTGGGTCACACAGGAGGGCTTTGGCCCTGCCCCATCAGAGTCACTGCAACTTCCAATCCTGCTCTGTATTCGGTGCCTCTGCTCATCTCTGGTGAGGACACCGCCTTTCCGAGAACCTCTCAAAGAAGCAGATGAGGCTGGACGGGGGTCTGAAATGGCAACGTGCATTTCCTCACCTGGCAGAGCAGAATTCCCAGGCAGTGGGGCTGGTCTCACAGCCACCCAAGCAGCTGGGGGGGTTTGCTGCTGCTCTGTCCCTCGCGTGCCTGGCTGCCCTGTCACAGCACCAGCTGCGCCCGCAGCCACCGCGCTGCAGCCTCGCGCGTCCCCTGCCCCCCCTGCCACAGGGATCCTGCTCTGGTTCCCTCAAAGAGGGTTTTAGCCTAATTTGTGAAGTGCTTGGGTTTATCCACTAAATTTTTTCATACTGAGGTTTGTGTGTGTTTGTTTGTTTGTTTTGTAGAATCCTTTATAGCTTTTCCACATGAAAGAAATAACCTTTATTTTTCCTTTTCTTTCCTTTTTTTCTCCCTTTACTTTTAGCAAACAAAATCTGAACCTTTTCTTTTTTTAGCGTTGTTTTGCATTTGACTAAGCCTCAATATTTTTAGTGAAGAATAACTTCCCTGAATGTTTTTCCTAGCTGAAGGAAAATATCTCTGTAGAAGCTTTCCACTGTGCTTCTTGACCTGAGTTTCCCACAAGCCACCTTCAGCCTTAGGTCTGTGAGCTTGCCCTTTGCATCCATCTGTTGCTTCTGTCATGATTTATTTGTTGTTTTGCCGAGCCATCAGAAGTGGGTCCTGTTTTCTACAAATGTTTTGTTCAGAGTAGATGGTATTAGACGTCTCCTGGGAAGCCGTCTGTCCTGGCTCCCCCCTCCTAGGCTGGAGGCTTTGCAGTACTCCAGGAAGGAGCATGAGGCTAGAACTACCTTTTTTAGAGCCTTTTGTAATGGAGCCTTTTATGCCTGTCCCTGTGTTCTGCAGCACACAGCTTTTATGGTTGTGCCTCCCTCACAAAGCTGCTTCCTGACCAGGTATCCCAGTGGGATTCGGTGGGTGCGTAACGCCAGTTGTCCTGCACAGCCCCTAACAGCCCCAGGGTGGGCACTTCTGTGTCTGCCCGCAGCACCCTCTGCAGTGCCACCAGCAGTGGTGGGGCTGGGAGAGGTGGGATGATGTACCGTACAGGCACAGGGGTGAGTTGTACCCTGGTGCAATAGCTGCAGCTTCGTGGCTCTGGCTGACTTTGTTCAGCAAGCCCAAGTGCTCTGGCTTCCTGACTGAACAATCTGCCAGCCCTCAGCCTCCTTCCAGACCCCCGGGAAGAACAGGCCATGCTCCCTGGAAGCCTTTTCCTTCTGCTTTTCAACATGGTCTGTGAGATGTCCCCTGGTCCCAGGCATTAATGAGTTCTTTGTGCACAGTGCATGAGCAAACAGAAGTCCTGGGCTTCAGCAGATTTTCTGATTGCAGTGGGTGGATAAAGATGAACTCAGTCAATAGGCTTGAGTTTATACAAGGGGAAAGGTCGCTGGGTCCGTGTGCCTGCTGTGCTCCCCACAGCTCATGGCCTGCCCAGGGACCCAGGAACTAGTGAACACACTGAGGCCTTTGTCTCCTTCGAGGGGTGCAGGGCAAAAATGCCACGGCAGAGTGGCTGCTTGGGAGCCCTCCACAGCCATGAGTTTCTGATCATGCCCTGTGGTTTGTCTCGTAGGCTAACGATTCATGCAGAGTGCCCCATGCACCTGGAGGACTTCCCAATGGATGTGCATGCTTGCCCGCTGAAATTTGGGAGCTGTAAGTACTTTGATCAGCCTCTGCAAGGAGGTGGGTACAGAGCTGAAGAGCAGTCCTGTGTGGGGGTAGTGGTTTCCAGTAGAGCGTTACCAATTATTGCTAATGATTCTGTGACCAAAAATTTCTTTCTGGTATCTCATACGTGCAATTCCCGCCATTGTCAGAAATGGGAAGCAAGCAAATCTGTGGTCAGTCCAGGCTCAGAGGGTGAGTTAGACACCTAGTTTTACTGTAAGTTTATTAGGGAAGAGCAGCTCCCGTTGCCCTCCCTGCCTTTGGTGGGCAGTGCTACCTCTTCCAAGCTGCTTCAGCAGGACCAACATTGATGGAAAACTCAGAGATGCTTTTCCTTCATCACAAGGGGAATCCTGGGGGGCACGGATTTGGGAAGATAGCAGTGATGTCTGCTGCTAGGTGCCCTGTCCAGCTTCCCTACATCACTCCTGCCAATATGGGGAGAGCCTGAAATCTCTGGTTACTCTGGCTCCGTGATCCAGTGCAGCTTACAAACACAATTGCTCCTCTTCTGTCTGTCAGGCAGATTGTTCTCAAGTTAAAGTCTTGGAAACTCTGGGAATCTTGGTCCCAACATTGAAGGTCCTGATTTAGGGAAGATTTGTGGGCTGCTGATAAGTTGAAAGCTGCTTCCAGCGTCCTGAACTTGCAGCTGCTTATCTGCCTGGGCTTCCCATACCCTGCCTAGGAAAAAATTTCCCCTTCTCTGACAATTTAAATTTCCCTTTCATTGACAAGTTAAATTTCTATTGGTTTTGTTTCTAAAGTAAGGGGAACCAAATTCCAAGCCATTGGATCACCATAATGTGGAAATAAATTTCCTGTTCCCACTCTGCCTGGAGTCTCCTCCAGATCCAATGAGCTGAAGGCCACTCTCAGTCTGAGTTATTCACCTCCAAATATAGAATAAGCCCCCACCAGTAATCTCCCTTCAGGATGCTAAGAAAACAGAGGAATCACAATGTTCCTGAAGTGATACCTCCTTCCTATAGCCATTTGGGAGTTAACTAAGGAGAAAGTTGAAAAGTTTGATTGACACCAGAAGAAATCATGTACCATGTGCATCTGCTTCCCTGCCTCATGACAAAATGCGTACATGGAACTGGATTATTCAAAAACTACTGAAATAAAGTTATTTCTTAGGCAGCACCTAATTAAATGTAGAACTCACTGCCACAGGATATCACTAAGGCAAATAAAATAGCAAGCCTTAGAGGAGGATGTTAATTGACCTTGTGAGGAGGGAAATAAAATCTCACACCCCAGGCCTAAACTCTGGGATTATTACAAGACTTGCAGGAAGGCAGATTACTCTACATCTAATTGCTTACAATGTTTCTTGATGAGGAAAAGAGATTAATATACATAGTTCTGCTGGAACAGCCTTTTGGGGTTCTTCTGAGTATCTTTACTGATTTGGCCTCTGAATGATAAGAGTTTTGACACAAGCAGCTCAGAGTGCTGCCCCTAGTAAACATTAGTGTGGGCCTCTTTAAAACACCCATTAGCACAGGATCTGAGCTTGCCATTCCCATGTTGGAACAGGATAAACCAGTGTTTGCACCAAAAAGCCATGGACAGCTGGAAGCTGCTCATTTGCAAGGTGCTTACAGTGGGTCGAGTTTGTAGGTAGAAGGACAATGCCAGGGCCAGATATGTCAAAGGACAGCTGAATTTCTCTCAGTTGACCACCTTCCAGTCATCTCCACAACCTGAATGTCTCATCAGTGGCTTCCTGTCCCTCTGCCATCCTGGCAGCCACCCAAAGAGGGAAGACAGAGAGCTTGCAGGAGAAGTAAGAGCATCTGGCACTTCAAATAGCTTCAGCTGCCTACCTGCATCATCCCTGGAACAAAGTGCAGTGAAGGTGATGGCTTTTGCTATTGCTATGCTCCCCAGAAGATGAATGTATGCGTTTCTAAGCCAGTCATAGGACATTTGAGAGCAGGCTAGCAGAAGATGTTGCTGAAGTTACCAGCTCCACCAAATGTCAAAGAGCTGTCCCTGTTTGGATTGGACTAGATTGCATTGCAAGTGAGGCATTAAGCAGATCCAAAACAGCTTCATGGCATTAAATATGCTCCAGGCATCCATGCCATGCCTATGTGACACCAGACACACTTCTGTTCCAGACAACCAGAGAAGCAGGCAACTGCATTTTCAGCTGTGATGGCAGTGAAACTGGGCAGATTTACTGTGTAGACTGAGAGTGGCAGTGGCTGAACCACGGCTGCTAGGGCAGAAGGTGCTGCCCATTAAGGCAGAAGAGCATTGGCAGAGCTGTACAAAGCTAAGCCTGAAGGAGGATGGAGGTCTCCAGAAGCATGTTGAGAGCTGGAAAGAGGGGCTGGAAAACCAGAGCGTTGCACATAGGATGAGAGGCGCCAGCCTGTATTAGAAGTGCTTAAGCAGCACGCTGCCCTGCTGAGAAACATTGGCTGATCATCAGAACCACTCCCCTCACTTTGCACAGTGCCTGCTTAGTATTTAACAGGTTTGCCAAAACCTACAATAAAGTGATAACAGTGGCTGTTTTAAAAAGATCAGAGGAATCTGATTGTCTCAGGACACAGTCTTCCACAAAGCAGGAGCTGAGACATTTCTGTAGCAGACCTGACCCATTGCTTGACCTGATGCTAGCCAAAGAATTCCTTAATGTCTTAGTAGGAGAAGTTTGTGTTAAAAATTAATTAAAACCTTGGTTTAGCCAACTTTGTTCTTGCCTAGAAAAATGGTGCAGAGTGCATCTGGCAGGAAGCTGGGTCATTATGGGGAGCAGCAGCTTCTAGTAGAGTCTGGAGACACTAATCCTGGGTAGCATAGGACAGGCAAAACCAAGAGGTGCAGGCACTGTTAGGAAAGGGGGTGGCTGTGTGAAGAAGCAGGGGTGTGGCCACGAAGGTTTTGGTCACCTTGTGAAGGTGATGGTGACTGTGTGTGTTAGCGAGAGGTGTTTGCATATGGCGAGTTGGGCAGGTGGGGTAGAGAAGGGAACTTGCAAGCTCCTGGAAGGGTGCCCTGGCCCCGAGCCCGGCGCTAGCCCAGACTGCATCCCAGCAGCACTTGCCTGCTGCTTCTCCTGCATGCATGGGCAGGTGTTTGCAGCACTGCCCTCTCTCCCTGCCTGCTGGATTGGCCTGGAGGCTGGTGAACACAGGGTCATGCAGGGGAAGAAGCATCTTAGTGGGAGGATGCACCACCTCCAGAGCTGAGAGGGTTGCTTCTCAGTTAGGGTAAAAATTTAAAGACTTTTTCTGCTTAATGTAAAATTAAACCCAAACTGTGTTTAGTCTTTCTTGCCAGCTGCTGCCAGCATGACTCTCCAGTCCCTGGCGTGGCAGGGCTGTGGCTGTCCTGCTGGTCTGGATGCCTTCCTATCTTGCCTCTGCTTGGAGCCAGCCCCTGCAGAATCAGCATGTCAAGAGGACAGTATGGCAACACAGTGCTCTGCTCCCTTGTGAAAACCCCAGCTCCCTTTTGCTCATTTAACAGTTGCTGAATTACCTTGGTCTCAGGCCGTGCTCAGCCATGTGGCTCTGAGGAATGCACAGCAGGAGTAATTTGGCTATAGGCTAATTTTTGTGTATTTTAGGTCAGGCAGCAGCACAAATCTCATTCTTCTTTCTCCTCCGCAGATGCCTACACAAAGACAGAGGTGATCTACACCTGGACACTGGGGAAGGATAAGTCAGTGGAAGTAGCAAAGGGTGGATCTCGCCTGAACCAGTATGACCTGCTGGGCCATGTTGTGGGGACAGAGATGGTTCGATCCAGCACAGGTACTTGTGGGACCATGGTGCAGGGCATGCACTGAGCACGCTCTCAGACAAGATGGACCCGTGGACTTTGAGTGCCAGGATTTGGCATATTTATAGTAGCAGTACCTGAGGGCAGTGAGCACCACAGGACTTCCCAAGCCATGTCCCAGTGGAGAATGTGGCTGGGGAATATCTGCAGCAGTCAGCGAGAGGGAGTAAAGGATTTAGCTCTCAGTGGTTTCCACTGAAAGAGCCTATTGCCCATACCCTCTAGGAAATGTATTTCAAGCATCTAAAAATGATCTGTTTTTTGGCAAGTTTACCCCACCTTGCCAAGCTGGTTCTTGGTGCTGTGGGTTCATTTGTCTTGGATCCCTTTCCAGTCCCTCAGGAGAGCATTGTGGGCAGGGGAGGCAAATGCAACATAATGTTCAGTGTGATTTTCACTGCATCTGCTTACACAAATATTATCATAGCTAACAGAAGATCATCCCAAACAAATGTTTCCTCTGATTAATGACCAGTATTAATCATCTTTCTCTCCCATCTGCTGCTCCTCCCTTACGCTTTGAATCCAGGTACCGATGGCTTCTGTTACCTCATGTGTGTCTCTCATCTTTCTTATTTTCTTTTCTTCCCTTTTTTTTTTTAATTTTCCTTCTGTATGTACCAGTAGTTTTCTCATTTGAGGATATTTCCTCTCTGGTGCACTTGATTTTAATAGTGTCTGTCTGTAACAACTCATATTCCCTCCCTTGGGGAAATGTAGGGAATCCAGGGAACTAAATGTCATAATATCTGGCCCATCTTTCTACTTAAGTTGTAGTTAAATGTAGAGATGAATAACCTAAAGTGGCAAGGAAGCTTCTAAAGGCTCCTGTGTGTAATGATTTAGCAGAGGAACACTCACAACAAAAAGGCACAATAATCCAAAATATCCAAAGCTTTGAGTGGGGGAATAGGGCATTGAGGGAAAAGAGGGACAGATGCTTCTTTGGCTTACAGTCTTTAGGAACAGAAGTTGCCATGATTTTTGAGATGGTTATAGTGAGAAAAGGTGGAATATTTTCAGGACTGCCAAAGAAATAAAAATTCTTCGTCCTGAAATCCTGCTGAAAAACTGTTAGGTTCTCTCTAGGCTTAAGGGATTGTACCTACAACATAGCTCCCAGGTACTAGGAGAAGTGCTGTGTAGAAGTCACCCAGGCTGCTCTGGGGTGCCCGCCTGGCATGGCACAGCAGCTGTGTGTGTGCAGGTCATGCAGTCAGTGCCAGCAGCATGCTGCAGCATGCATCCCTTCTTCACACAGCTGCCAGAGCTGACAGGACTGTGACACACCAGGGCATGCCAGCCTCTGACAATGTGACACACACTGCAGCTTCATCTGAGAACATGAAAGTTTGTTCAGGACAGATCCTTAGTGGTTTAGGGATGGATCTGTGGTCAGCTGGACCCATCCTGGAAAGCAGCGGTGGCTTAGCGTCTCTAACCAGCTGTCTCTGCAGGGGAGTATGTTGTCATGACCACACACTTCCACCTCAAGAGGAAGATTGGGTACTTCGTGATCCAGACCTACCTACCCTGCATTATGACTGTCATCCTGTCCCAGGTCTCCTTCTGGCTTAACAGGGAGTCTGTTCCTGCCCGGACAGTTTTTGGTGAGTCTGGAAGCGTGGGGGCATCCTCTCGGGACAGGGGAGAAAGGCACCACAAATGATGGGGAATAGACTGAGCATCAGAGCTGATCTTCTCCAGGCCTTGAATGGCATCAGCAAAGCTGCTGGCCATTCCCCAGAATGGCTCTCAGTGTCTTCCCAGTGCCACTGAAGCACTGCAAAAATACTCCTGTCCATGTTTCTGCTGCAAGCCCAGCCATAAATATTGACAGTAATCAAGGTATTGATCATCTAATTCTATACATTTTGCTGTGTCTGCTTATCTAGATTGGCTTTTGAGTTGTGGAGAGGATAGGCACGTGGAGAGGCATTTAAAGCACTACCTTTGAAATTGCTAATATGCCCCTGGTCAGAGCTCCACAGAACAAGTTTCTGGGCTGAGGCATTATAACTGCGTGGTAAATATATTGTTATTCTTTCCTTCAGCTGATTTCAGATCTCTCTCTGGGGCAGTGGCAGGCTGGCATTGCATATATATTAACAGCTTTTACAAACATTTAATAACAGAATTGCTTTGTGCTTTCCTGCCAAGACCTTTACTTCAGGATCTACACACACATGCTCACAGACCAGGAGTGATGCTGCAGGATTGCATTTCCTGGAAATAACAGTGCCCAGCATATACCACTTAAGAGAGAATATATTGGAAAAAAGTCACCAACCAGCTCGTGTTTTTGACTAAGAAAGAAAGTGGTTTGGTTTCAAAGATCATGAAGCATTTTCTCTGTAGCAAGAGTCATTATAGAAATACTCCCACAAACCCAACAAGGCTGGGAGCCTCCTTTGCAGACCCTCTCTGCAGGCCTGGACCTTGTTCCCGTGCTGTGGACTGGAATGGGATGTAAGGAGGTTCACAAGTGGTTCTGCACCCTCCTAAAAATGAACCAGAAGGGAATCATTTTGGGGTTTGTGTCCACTAGTGCTTGTGCAATGTTGGTCACAAACAAGCTTTGAAATCTACAGTTGGCCCCAGCTTCTCCCCATTAGCACCAGGTTGCCTTCCCTTCCCCAGTGAGGAAGGGATCCTACAGTGATTCCTGGGGTGGAGCCCATCTGTGGGGAGCTGGGTTTTTAGTATGACCAAACTGCTTTGCAAGATCCAGACTACAAGTGACAGTAGTGAAGGAGAGGAGGTACACTTTTTCGTGTTTTCATCCATCAAAATGGAAAAGGGGAGGCTCAGAGAGAAATCAAATGGAAAATAAGACCAGCTCAGGCACACAGAGTCATCAGTGAGCCTTCTTCACTCATCTGTCTGTGAACTGGTTGCAACTGAACTCCACAGAGTGCAGACCTGGCCCCCACGTCTGTCTGTGACCCAGGTGGGCTCTTGTGTCTGCATTGGTTCTAGAATATCTCTGCAGTTCTGACACTGGAAGTGAGCCCATCTCTAAGGATATTCGACTCCCTCCTAGGTTATCCTTGATTTGCAATTAGACAGGTTTCCTGAAGTAGTAACTCAGATTGAGCAGGAAAAAGCTGACTGAAAAATTAAAACCTACCTTTGTGAAAAAATGTCTTTGCTCCCCGATTGCCTTGCTTTCCTATTAAGAAAATAATGAGAACTCAAATTGTTTATTCCCTTTCTTTGCCTCTCAGAAAGTATTGTCAACAATATTATTGAAGCTTTTCAATTACCAGGAATATGGCTTAAGGGAAGTGGAAATTAGTCAATATTTTTGTAACAATTTTAATGTATTTTTAATTGAAAAGCACATTATTGGGGAAAATGGATAGCTATAGTTGCTTACTTGGATGAAAAAAGCTTTAAAAGGCATTTTGCAACAGATTGGTTTTTTAACATGAATCATTCTGACACCGATCCTGGCAGCTTCAGCCACTTACGGGTGCCTGGCCATGCCAGCAGCACCCAGGATGCCAGCTGCCCATCCATGCAGGTCACATGACACTATTTAAAAAAAGTTAAGAGAAGTACATTGGATGAGTGTCCAGTTTCTGGTCCTCCCAACCATCTAGCTGTCCTTTTTTACTGTTATTTTATTATTTTTATTTCATTGGAAAAGCAACCAGAGGCTTCTCTATGGCATATTCTATGTGACGGAGTTGGGTCTAACATCAAGCAACTTACCCTACTAGCAGACAAGGAATTGAATGTAGGTGCCTACCTATGAGCTAGGACTCTTCTGTAGTGAGCAGAGATCTAGTCAATGGAGTTTAGAGAAGATTAATCTCATCCTAATGCAGACGTTTGCCAGTGGTTGCATGAATTAGAGATACTCAAAGCTGAACCAGAGAAGGCCTTGAGCAACGTGAGGTTGGCCCTGATTCAAGCAGGGGTTGGACAAGCTGACTTCCCTTCCAACCTGGGCTGCTACATTATTCTATAAATTGCACCATGGGTTGGTGCTGGGTAAGATGCCCTTCATTGCAGTGGGAATGTGGGCCACATGCCGTAGAGGACGGCTTCCAGATTTACACGATGGAAAAGCCAACCGTGTGGTTTGGGGAGAAGCCGGGCGGGTATAAACATATGGTCTCACACCGTTCTTTTTCCTGCTGTGTTTCCACAGGTGTCACCACCGTCCTCACCATGACCACACTAAGCATCAGCGCCAGAAACTCCTTGCCCAAGGTGGCGTACGCGACGGCCATGGACTGGTTCATAGCCGTCTGTTACGCCTTCGTGTTTTCTGCGCTGATCGAGTTCGCCACTGTCAACTACTTCACCAAGCGCAGCTGGGCCTGGGATGGCAAGAAGGTGCTGGAGGCTCAGGAGATGAAGGTCAGCCCCGTGGCCGAGGCCAGGGAGGAGGGGTCGTGAAGAAACGCCGCACAAAAGAGCTGCACTGGGCCCGGGAGTGGGTGCCGTGCAGCCCCGCAGCGCTTCAGGGGGCTGCACGGGACCTACTGGGGTGCCCAGCTCAGGTCTCGACTGGGGCGGTTCTTGGGGGTGGAGGGAGGAAGGGCTTGGAGGGCTGGTCGCTGTGCTTAGCTGCAGAAAAACACCCAGGCATGACTGCTCGTTTTGCCTTCTGTCCTCCTGCATGGGCATTTGCTGGTGGAAACATGAACACGTGCATGCTTTGGTCTTGCTCCACTGGTGATCTCCTCTCTCCTTTCTTCTACCTCCAACCCATAAATGCCCTGCTCCATGTTGCTAGCATGTCACACAAAACCAAATATGCCCTGGGGTGCCAGCCTCACCAGTGGAGCCAGTCCCGCTCTGCTCTGTCCCCTGGGGCTGGGACCTGACTGTAGGTCTCCCCTGGCACGGGCAAGTGTGGTGCAGCAATGTGGGGGTCTGACACTCGTGCTGTTGCCCACAGCTGCTGGCAGCTGCTGCTTTGTAAGCTCAGGCAAAGAGGATGGGTGGGAAACAAGCGATCAGAAATGGCAACTGGCAGTAAATTAGCTCCTGGCATCACCCATGTTTTCCCTTCTCACTTGGATCAGCCCCTCTGGCACCTTCCCTCCTGACAGCCACTGCTACCCCTGCTCATGCCCCCTCCCTCCCAACTGATTTAATCTCGGCTGTGCAGAGAAATCACTTACTGTAGCATGCTGCTCCTTGTTTATATGTATTGAATCAGTTTGAAAATCAGCTTTGTCCTTGTTCTTGCTTCTGGAGCCTTTATGTTTTTCTCCTTTGCATTTTAATGTGTTCTTCAAAATTGTTGTGGGATTGTATGCAAATACCTGGCATAACTGCAGTAACTTCTGGGAAGACCTCAGCCAGTCATCTCTTACAGAGAACCACAGCCACCACTGGGTGTTGAATGCACCTCTCCTGTGTTTCTTGGATTCTGTCTGTTTGCTTTTGCAGCTGTGGTCTGAGCAACAGACTCATGGCAGAAAGGCTCCAGAGGAGGCCAGTTGATGGTCTTCCACTTCCATTGTGAACAGTAACACTAGTCTGGCCTCTAGAGATGAGAGAAGCCTTTCCTGGGTTATTGGCATGAGCGAAGGATCAGAACAGGTCCTCAGACCAATCATGTCCCTTTCAGGGATGGGCAAATGAGCACAAAATCAGGATTCACACAGCCTTGGCCACTTCTGTGAACTGAGGACAGCCAGAAAAGCAGCAAAGGCTCAGAAGCTTCAGTTTGTCATAGAAGAAGCATGCACCTTAGTTCATTCATTGACCCGGCACTGCAGGACTAACAGTGCTGGAATGGTAGGCTAAGAACAGGCAGAATGTTTATGCATGTGGTAGTCAAACAAGAAAACAAGGAAGGACCAGGAAGGTTTCAGAGGGAATGCCCTTTTTGAGTTTGCTGCAATTGGTGTCAGGCTGGAGGACTCCAAGGACTCCAAATTTGTGGATGCTTTTTCAAGCTAACCCTGATCTTTATCTTAGAAGGTTAAGAGGGAAGGCTCAGACTCCTGGCCTCTGCAGCTCAGAGCTCCCTGAAGAGTGGTGGGCTTTTAAGGAGCTTGGGAATATGATGTGTCACCATATTTGCTTTTCATCTTTATTCCACTGAGTGTTTCCAAGTACTGAATTTGCTATGCAATGAAGGTGCCTCATTGGCTCAGTTTCAGCCTTTAATTAGCTCTTCTTGAAACAATTGACAAGCCAGGTGGTTGAAACTACAAAAGAAAGAGGAGGCAGAAGAATAACTATTGGCATTTTAAAGTGTTTGTACCAGGAGTGAAACTACCAGCGACAAGCCCAGGCTGAGCCCTGGTCTCTGGAGAGCTGTCCCCCCAGCCAAAAACAATGTTCCTTTTTGATGTGATGGCAAGGATCCTCTCTCCAGGTTTGATTGTTTCCTTGTGTAAGCATGAAAAAAAATCAATAAGCATCAGCCCTTCCCTCACCTCAAATCTAGACAGCAGCAACGCTTCCTATCCCATTTGAAAGAAATCACTCCCTTGCAAGAGCTGCTGTTTGCTGACAGGCACTCGTGGCATGTTCACTCTCTCAGAGCTGGTTCTGTGCTTTCTTCCTCCCCTTCAGCCAATCCATCAGTTTCAATGGGATCTAGAGCATTTTTTCAGATAGATTATATCATGATGGGCTGATCTTGGTGAATCGCTGATCTCTGCATCATAAATGATCATTGTGGTGTTCTGGCTGTAGCCACAGTTCGGTTCCAGTTCTAGCAAGGAACTACTCTGCACATTCTCTGCAGTTCTCCTCTAATGAAAAACAAGCAGATAGCACTATAGATGGCACCAAAAACTCCCTTTTGTGTGACAGGATTTGACTAATTTTTTTTGACCCAAAGATTTTACAAGCCTTTCCTGCCTGCCACCAGTATTGCTAATTGTGGATGAAGGATTTCCTCTCTTTCTGTATGGCAGAGTGGCTAGAACCAGCCTGGAGGTGCAGATCAAATTGGAGAAAGGTATCTGGATCCAATGTGGAAAACTTATTAGCAAAGATGATTTAAAAAGAAAGAAACATTGTCAGGAGAAAGGTGGGAGATGGCAGTAGTTGGGAAGGAGCGAGAGGCCAAAGAGATTGAAAGGTGAGTGGTTTCAGTAGCCAGCAAAGCTTCCTATCTCCAGTGTCCTCAGAATACCTTGCTAAAAGGATCCTTCAGGACAGAAGGGCTGTGTCTGAACAGAGTGAGATCCGTCCATCTGTCCATCCATCCCTCCCTCCCTCCATCCCAGCCATAGGGATGGCCGTCTCTGGAGCCAACAAGGTCACTTCCTGAGCAGCTGTTATGGTGAGGAGCTGAAGAGACAACCAATATCAGCGACACTGCCATTGGGAAACTCATGAAGTCTGCACAGATGGCGTTTACCAGGCATCCCTGAACAGAAGAGTGTTGTCTGTTCCTCAGGATGGAAGATGCTTTGGGTCTTTGGAGGATACTTAAACATACTTCTGCCTTTGTGTCTGTGCATAAAATCTGATTTAACTCTGTATCTGTGCTTGTATGACACTGCCCTGAAACCCTGGGTGGCAAGAAGCAACAAAAACAATACAAGTAGCTGCAGTCAGACACATGAAAACAAGGAAGAGCACACTTTGGATGGAGGAATAGTAGGGATCTTTCTCTTTCTCATCCCTAAGACAATAATCCTGTCATGCATGGTGAGAAGGTTAGGTCCAGTCTTTCTATGTACTTTTCACGTCTTTTCACTAAGAGAGGGCACCAGAAAGTATCCTCCAAACCTCTCTATTGATATGATCATCATGGTTTTCTTTCTTGTATTTTGGAAGTGAGGGGCATGCTCGCCATTTGCATTAGTTGTCTTTTTCCACTGAGTAAAGCCTAGCTTTGTGTCCAACCCACTCTTCAGCAGTTCTGAAGTTTGCCCGAGATACAGGTCACTTGGGAGTCATTCTCCTTTCTTTATAGTTCCCATAGTTGAGAAGTTCAGCTGTTAGATCCTCCACAGAGAGGCTTGAAGACAAGAGTATTTGACAAAGCACTATTATTGTCCTGTACGTGTGTTGTGGAAGAACTCTCCAGACTGCAATATTCAGGGAACATTTTTGTCTCCAGACCAGATTCCATAGGTTTTCTCTCAGGAGAGCAGTGCAGGAATAGCTTTTTGGAGTGGTTCAAGTCTTTCTTTTGCCCAAATGGGGCCATAAATGCAGGCATTGCTTTGCAACAGGTATGTTTTAAATAAGAAACATTTTCAAAGCAAATGTGGAGTTTCCTTCTGTTTTTCCATTCTTTTCTTCTGTTTCACTAGGGTGTGGAACTCATTGCAGATAAAGCTTCAGGGGAAGGCTGGGGGCTACTTTGCAGCTGACAGCAATAAGCACATTTTGCTTTGTTTCAGTATCAAAAGCTTGCCTGAAACAGTTATTTGTAAAGCACGGCCCAGCAAACTTCAGGCTGAACCTTTTCTTCTGACATCTCAGGAGCTGAGCACATCCAGAGCACCCATGTGTGCCTTGGTGTAGATAGTGTGTGTTCTGGGTGCTTTCCAAAGGCTCCCAGCTCTGACCAGGGCAGAAGACTCTAGAGGCAGCTGGAAAAAGGCCCTGTCTGTAGCCTCCCAAGCCTGTGCACTACCTGAACAGCCTGATCTGAGGTCTAGAGAAGCCCAGGCTGATGCTTGGAGGCTCTGGATCATGCTACCAGAAGCAGTATCTTGCTGTCACCACCCGCAGCATTCGTATTTGCCTGACTTTGCTCCATTTCAGCCTGCTGCTTTCAGATGCCTTTGGCCAAGTGAGACAGATCCACTTGCCGTGTTCTGGGGCAGAAAAGCCACCCAGGCTGGAAACATGTCACTTGTGGTCATCTTATTCCTGTAACAAATAACGTGGCTGATTAATACTAAAATAATCAGAGTGCACTTCAAGTTACATTCTGTGAACAACAATCTGTTAATTTCGTTACTGATTATTAATTAGTTTATTACCTCCTGTAGCTGTGTTAATAAGTAATCATACTTAAGCATATTTAAATATTTTAGAAAGTGAAACATCTTTAGTCCTTTATGTGGTTCTTGTCAGCTCTTTAGTAGGAAAGGTTCACCTGCTGTGCAGGGGGTGCAGGTTAACACGGCTCTAATGACTGCAGAAATCAGTTGCTCAGTTAGTCGTTAAAGATTAATAACTCCCTCTCCCATAAAGGACTGTGAATATGGTCTGATCAGTGGTTTAGTCTGATCTGGAGTCTGAAGCCATTTAGACCTCCTTCTAACAGCAAGTTAACTTCTGGAATTGCTGCCATTATGATGAGGCTGCAGGCCTATCTGTGATACTATTGAAGGGGGGTTTAAAGGTTGCACAGAAGTCTGCTTTTGTACTTTTTAGTGTCCTTCTGAAAATTGCTGTGGAAAATTAATTTCCTAAGGTAACCAGAAATATCCACGATGATTGTGGAGACTTGTAAAATGGAAGTACAGCATGAAAGCTTAAGCACTTGGAATAACTCTGCAGAGCAGACTGTGTGAATCTGGCCTTTCCAGCTCCCAGTACTCCCCAGTGATGCTGCCTGCTACCAGTTCTGAGGCTAAGGTGGGGAGATGCACAGGTCCTTCTAGCCGTACCTTCTCCCCTTCTCCTGATCACTTTCTACGTAGCTCACTCACACCTATGTGGAAGACCATGCCAAGCACCCTTGGGAAATGCCTGGGTGAGCCTTACCTTGTGTTTTAGTTGCTTTTCAATAGAAAATGAGATCCAAAGTCACACCTTGTTCTGAGTTGAGATGTTAGATTCCCACCATGAGTCATTGCTGTGTCTGCTGCTGGCTCTTGGCATAATTACAGTGGACTCTGCATGGAGTACATGAGTGCTGGGATATGTTGGGTGCCTGATGTCTGTGTATGAATATATTCCATTCAGTGGCTGTCTCCTGGTAGACCTGGATTGCTTGATACAATATGGTCTATGGTGCAGCTGGCCCCAGGTCCCTGACAGCAACAGGAAGATCCCCAGAGCGGGGGTAACACCTCTCATGACTTCCTAGGTCTGTCTTCCTGTCCACTCACCTTCATTAACATCTGAACTGCCTGTCTTCAGCATCCTCCATCATCCTTCAGTACGTCATGTCTGACACAGAAGTGCCTCTTTGGCTGTTTGCTATGCAGGCCCTCCTCACTTCAGCACGGACAGCATGATTACCCTGGAGCACTGTGGGAGGGGTGCACTCACCTCTGGTAATTTGCAGCACCCTTTAGATATGAAGGTAAGATGAGAGGCTTCCCTCTGCCCTGTAGTGCCGTGTTGAGCAGTCCTGAAATCCAGATGAAATGCCTTCCGTCTGTTCTGATTCTTACCTGAGAAGGTCATGAGGTGTTCTAAAGGGTCCCAGAGGCATTTTGGACATCATGATGTTAAATTGTGAGGTATTCCTGTGAGGTATTCAGGGCACTGAGGCAGTGAACGACATGGCCTTGTAACATGGTGCAAAAATACTGTGATGCTGTCACTCACATTCTTAAAGCCGCTGGCTTTCTGCTGCAAAAAAAAAGTAGAACTATAATCCTCTGTGATGTCCCCTCCTCTCACCTCACCCAGGAAGCAGGCCAGCAAAGCAGAAAAATCAAGATCTTCCCCGAGGATGACTAGATGGGGTGTCATTTGTTTCCAAAGACTACATGCCTGCGATGTGTCTCCGTGGCTGAACCTTACACGTAACAAAGCCCTGCCTAGCTGAGAGAGAAAACAAAGAATCTGCATAGTCTGAGCCTGCATCCACTTATACTGACCTGGCAATATGCAACATAGACTTCAGCACTCCACCAATCAAGGAGTCACCCATCTGGGGCAGCTACTGCTCCAGTGCAGCTCCACACACCTTTGTATATCACTGTTCTGATCCAAGGGGCTGCAAGGAGGCTACAAACCCAGCTGTGTGGCTGCGGTTATTTGACTTGCAGCAGGACCTCACTGCCAAGCCAGGACCTCTTTGTGCTGAGTGCTGCATGCCAGGGTTACACAGAGCAGCTGGTCCACCCTAGTCCAGCATGTCCTTATGCTCCAGCAGCCCTCAAGTGATAGATGTAATGGGTTCTGGCCATCTTAGCACCACGTCTTCCTTTCCTTCCGCAATGCCGCCTTCTTGGTCTCTTTCTCCTCGCAGCTTTTTCCATCTCCTCATCCAGGCAAGCAGGTAAATGCAGAGGACAAAATGTTCCCCATGCAGTTCTAGGTACTTCATCTTTGTAATGTTTTTTTTTCTTCCACCTCCCTTAGAAAAAAGAGCCAGTGACACTAGCGAAGAAAACCAACAACACCTACAACATTGTTGGCACTACGTATGCCCTCAACATCGCCAAGGACCCCGGCCTGCCCACCATCTCCAAGAGTGCTGCTGCCACTGCCGCCAGCATCCCCCCAAAGATGCCCCGCGTAGAGGAGAAGCTCCCAGAGAGTAAGAAGACATACAACAGTGTCAGCAAGGTAGACAAGATGTCCCGCATCGTCTTTCCAGTCCTTTTTGCCATTTTCAACTTGGTCTACTGGGCCACGTACGTAAACCGGGAGTCGGCTATCAAGGGAATGATCCCCAAACAGTAAAACCGGGCACACAAACCTCCCATCAGTGAGCACCATCCAAGCAGGAATTCTCCAGGGCTTTCTTCTCTCCCCTTTCCTTTAATTATTATTGTTCATTTGATAGTATTATTATTACTATTAGATCGTTCTTTTATAATGTAAACAAAACTGTGATTTTAATTTAATCCTGTATACTTCAGTTGCGGTTTACTTCGTCTCTGATGACAAAAGGGAAAAAAAAAAAAGGATCATAACAAGTTGTGCCTCTAACATCGTGAGTCTGATGTCCCCCATCTGTCCAAGCCACCCTGTGCTTCCATCTCTCCTCCTCCACCTCCTGTCACTCCCATGGTCTGCATGCCATTGCCACTCCGCTCTCCACTCGGCTGGAGGCTGCTGTGGTCCACCCCCCTCCTCCTCTTCTGCAATGGACTGCCCTAGCATGATGGGTGCCCAGGGGCCTGAAGTCAAGGGTGTGGGAGCCTCCAGAGCCAGTCAGACAGCCAGGCTGCTTTTCCATGCCTGGCATTTTGTGCTTGGTGGTGCTCCCCAGGCTGTGGATACACATGGGCTGGTCCACTGAAGGAGCAGTACACCATGGGCCACCTCGTAGCCCAAAGCCTGCTGGGGGCAAACCCACCACTGCTGTGATCTGTGGAGCTGTTGCAGGGTGGAACAGGGTGGCAGCATCTTGTAGTTATCTATAGGGTTGCTTCCTCCCTTCACCAAACCCAGCTCCTGTTTTCCTCTGTATCTCTCTCCAGACAAGAACAGGTGAGGAAGGTCTTGTCTGCTTGCCATCCTGTACTCTTGGAGCAATTCATAGTGGAGGGTCGGGTGGCTCCTACTAGGGAAATAGTTTTTCTCAGGGTGAGTCAGGAAGTCGAGACAGGGCCTTTGTAATGCCTTGGAGGAGATGGTAGCTCTGAGGTCACTGGCATTCAGCATCAGGACTGGAAGCCATAGAATTCATGTTCAGATGGATGGTTTATCACTTTCTCTTGCCCCATCCACTTATCCTTCTTGGCTTCTCCTCTCTGTCCTAGCCCCTCCTTCCAGCTCCCCATGCATCTTCATTTGGCTACTCAGCAACCCTCACTAGTATCTCATTACTCCCAGGTAGATTTAGGCCAAGAAGCTCCTACCTCTGAGGCAAGCTACACTGATTGGGAGGAATACAGCCCCAGGGAAGACCAGCTCATGGTGCATCCCTGCTTTTGTGCACCAGAGCAGCAGTCCAGCTGGCTCAGGCTAGCTCAGGTGCAGGCTGTTTCCTGTGGAACACACCAGGGGCCACTCTGCCACCTGTGGGTGTGAATCAGGGGGCAGTTGGT